CAACACCACCGTCTATGAGGTTGAATACTCGTACACTGCCTTGTTTATATTGGTTCTTGAAATAATGTGCAGGAAGATAAGTTGGAGCTGCAGATGTGCCAACGCATGTATCTGAGAGTCGAGCGTCCAACGATGGCGTCCTCATGGCCTGTATATACATATATACAGACTGAATTACATTCAATTCCCTGTTCGTCTCAATTCCTTTTGTACCCTATATAGATCTAACTCAAGCTCTAGACAAAGTAGTTGTTCATGAACAACGTGTGATTTCAAATCTGGGAATAACATCTTAAAGATACCGTGGATAGTGAAAAAATAGTTAGAAATTAAATATCCGGCACTAATATTACAAATGAAAAATAAAAAGATATATAGATAAACAATATTCTTGTAGTAACTTGTTAATAAAATAAAGAAAGAATAAAATTTTGTCCATAATACCATCAACTTCTTCGTAGGCGGTCATTCATCGAAATGTTGGTGATGATTACCGATGACATCGTACACGTCATTATTTTCAGTAGTCGCTGAGATATGTGCATTGATGATATCCAACAATATGACTGTTAGCAATTCCAATCAAGTCACTGACATGACAGCAATTATTTATTGTCATCGTTCGCTCTATTTTAATTTGTTATTATTCTTTATGGAAAAGATACTCTCAAAAATTTTGTCAAAGGCCCTTGAATTGACTGAGAGGCCTAAAGTAAATATGTGGAGAAAACAATAGGTTGCAAATTTTCGATGTCAAATGTTGGAATGACAGCATTAGTTAATGTCTCATCCAGTCGAGTCTCGCCAAGTAGAACCCCTGATAACATTGTGAAGGTACTCTCCATCGTACTTTGGTCCAACTATAGGTTTCAATAGTTTTCTGGCCAATCCTAGTAAGCCACTGCAATCCAAAACCAATACAAATACAGGTGCTCATCAATAAAATTATGGTCATAAAATCAATAAGATTCATATAAAATGTAACTGTTTGTTGTACTACTAAAGTATAATTTATACTTCTTTTGAGGAAAAATTCTAGAGGAGTGCTCGAGACAAAGGGTTCGATATCTTTAGCTGCAAACAACGGACTGTTATTTTTGTTAGGAGCGATTAACATGGCAGTTACTAGACCTCCCGTGCTCATTCCTGCAATAACATCAAAGTAATCTGCAAGTCTAGCATCCTCGCCGTCAAGCACCTGGCAATGAAGAACACATCTCCAAGGTTGTTAAGGTTGCATTGAAATATAACTGTTATGTGTTTGTTAAAATTATCAATTAGTCAAGATTTTGAAGAAAAAATGAATCTGGCCCTGCCCAAGGTTGGATGCGTTGAAGAGAATTAGAAAATAAATAAATGAGTTTCTTCCCAAAAGTTTAAGCTTTTGAATAAAAAT